CTCTCTCTCTCTCTCTCTCTCTCTCTCTCTCTCTATCCACCTGCAAATTCACACAACATACCTATACTTCTGCTTCCCCATTTCCTTATCTATTTTCTTCTCTCCTTTTCGTCAATCGAAGTTAGCATCTATGGTAACAAGCATTAATGATAGGAAAGTGAGTTCGAAGAAGCATATGACCAATAATTTCTTCTCTGAATTTATATGCAGTCTCTTCTTTCTTCCAGCTGGGTTTTCGATGAAGAACAAACCCAAATTCTTAACGATCTTCATGATTTTCAAACTCTTGGTGGGTTTTCAATTTCTGCGTGTTTATGATTGGTACCCAGTAAACTTCCAAAAGAAATTTTCAGATGAGAAATTGTTTCAATCCCAAAAATCCTTTCGATTCATAAATTTCTGTCAAGAATCAATCCCAAACACCTGCTTCAGCCTATCAATTTTATCAAAAAAAAAGAATAAGAAAAAGTAAACGACTTGTGAGCATTCGACCAACCCACGAGCCTCCCCACCTGCACCGATATTTCATTGCTCCTTCCCACCTCCCACTCGCGATCCACAGCTGGAGCAGAAACAAGCAACCAAGAGCTGCTTTAGCAGCCCTCGTTGAACCCACCAAGTTTGACGACAGCCTCACTGCCCCGTTCTTCTTCCCATCTTCAGTTCACTCAAACAACGAGGGTGTTTCCCCTCACTCATCCACGACCCAGCAGCCCCGAAATCACAGACGCTCGCTACTTCTTCCCTCCTGCGTCGCTTCGCTATCGTCGATCCGGAGACTTCTCCCTCCTCACGATCTGCGATCGCCGATACCTCCCTTGGTCCCCTTTCTGGCCTGCGACGAGCAACGAACCAAGGATCGAACCCCCCAAAATCGAAGTTGGTGTTCGATTTCTCCTCTACTTGCAATGACGCTTCCATTCCTTCTGCTGCCTTGTGTTCATACATATTTATCCATTGCCCGATCATACATTGAACAAGCCATTAAAAGCCCTAATTTCATTTTAGATTGTGAAAGGAAAATCTTTTAGATGAGAGAGAGAGAGTTATTTTCTTTTTTTATTTTTCTTTTAATTATGAAAATATTTAAATAAATAAAAAAAATGAAAAAAACAAAAAAGAAGGGTAAAATCGTCATTACAAAAATTTTTAAAGTAAATTGGATCAAACTCGCAACAAAATGAAAATTTTGGACCTGTGGTGCTAGTCCGAAACTTTTTGGACCAAAGTGGTAATTTTCAGCAAACCACAGGGACCATTTGTGCAGTCTTGTCAGATAATAACAATAAAGGGACATATCCATCAAGTAATTAAATCAAAGTCAAAAATAGAAACTGAAGATGTGTAAATTATATTTACGATTACTATATAGTAAGTTTATCAAGAAGGTGTACAATCCCTTTTATTACTAACTTGCATATTAATATATTCATTTATTAACAAATGGCGTATTTGAAATGAACATACACAATAGATCAGTGATCATAAAATATATTAAACACTAAGTCTTAGGAATTGCAGTTCTTTGACATGATTCCAGATGAGTTATGTAAACACCTCATATTAAGATCTCGTCTTACCCTGCTAATGTCGTCGAAACTCTTCAGACACTATAAGAATAATCATCTTTAATGGTGATGCATTTACCGGCAAAGACCACCTCTAGCGGTGACATCTGAAGTTCGCGCTAGATGTTGCCACTAAAGGTGCATGTCGCCGCTAAAGGCATCGTCACTAAAGGTCAAGGACCCCGATCCGCGTCAAAAGTTGATTTTAATCCCTATCCGTCGATTTGGCCCTAATCCAACGGTTTGAAATGAATATCGTACACACTATTATCGGCGACCTCATTCGCGGCGACAAACGTCACCGCTAATGCTTGAAGAAAAGGTGCGGTAGATATTCCCTCCGGAGGCTCTCCACGAAAACCCTAGCGTCTCCGCTAATACCCATCGTTGCTAATGCTCTGCGTAGATATACCCCCATATTCTCCACTTTCCTATCTTTTCAGTCAACACCTTTTTACTCTCCCAATTCCCGACCATCGTGCATCACCCACGATCGATTACAAGGCAAACCTCTATCACTATCGGCGACAAGGGCATCATCGGCAACCAAAGTCGCATCACCGGCTACGAAAAGTTTCATCCACACAATGTACGACGACGAAAAAGTCCTTTTCTCCCCTCTTTTCTATGTATATTCTCTTTGATGACCATCTACGGAGTTTGAGTATTTGATATAATGTATATGACCTTAATTTGTAAGGTACAATGATATAATGTATATGTAACATGTGTAGGATGTATGTTTAAGTCTATTTCTATGTATATGTATGTATGTATTGATCAGAATATCACTTAATTTTTAAGGGCTTATTTGGAAAGTATAATTCTATAATGGAAAAAAAAGTAGGATGTTATATTCGCCATGACCTTAATTTGTAAAATACACTGTTATGATGGAAAGTATGACAAAAAGTAGGATGCACTATTTATACATATATTAGTATTGTGCCCCATTGAAAGTATTTTGCTTTCTTTTTCTATGATTTTAATTGGATGATGGGAGTGTGGCATTGATAGGACCCATTAAGTATTAATAATTTATTATATAAAAAAATTAGTCAAAAAATATAAATGATTTAAAAATATTATTTTTATGTCGGTCAGACCAACAATGTAACAAACACATACCATAGGTACAGTTGTAATTAAAATAACTTAAAGACCAAACCTACAAATTATTTAAACCATAGGGATCAGTTGTGTAACTTACAATAGAAATAATAAATTAATGATTATAAGATAATAATGTAATGATTAAAATAATGAAATTAGTGTAAATTATTATATGATAATAATATAAC